CATAATATATGAGAACTTCTCACCCGTTTGTCCTATTATGTGGGTGGGTAATTATTTTTTAAAATACAGAGATACCAGTAAGCACAGGCAAAATCAAGCGGTTGAGGGGGATAGACACATGCATTCTTTCTTTATATTTTACTTAAACTATGAAAACTTCAGCTGATAAATAGTTATAACATTGTAAATAATCTTTCATCTTCTTTGGTGGTCTGTGAGGTTCACATAATTCCAGAGTTAAAAACCATTTTTAACTTCTTTCCCATATCATTAGTGTAGTAGGAGACCATAAAAAAGTGCAGCCAGAAGGGGTTTAACTGTTACTGAGTCAACATTTGACAGTCACACTGTATTCTGTCATTTCATGCATGTGCTTTTTATGAGTTTTATAGCTTTGTGAGCTTTATTTCAGGGATGTCCATTGTAATAGCTGATCCACAGCCCGTCTCTCTCTGTGTATGTGTGGCTGGTGGAGAGCAAAACTTATCGCTTATACAAATCCCAATTGCAGGGAGTAATAGAAGAACCATCTATGCATGCACTGTTTAATTTAGGATTAGGTAATTAAGGAAATATCTGCTTCCTCCAAGGTACACTGTGTGTGTTCTTTTGTTTTGACTACTCTATGAAATATCAACATAGGATGTCCACTATAGCCTTTATAAGCACATTGAATCTTCAGTTGCCTTATTGTATAAATTGAAATAACAGAATTGGGAACTTTCTCATTTGAAATATATAATAGACTTACAGAATTGCATCTTATCATGCCTGAGTCTGGAAAATAAAAATAGAAATAAACAAAAACATTGCAGATGCTAAAAAAGAGAAAAACCCAACAATTTTTAAAGTTGTTACTAAAATTCTAGTTTTCAGTTCATATTTGTCTACTACAGAGAACAGAAGATCCTAACTATAGTAGGGAACTCAACATTCAAGCTGAATTTATTCCTGTAATTCCCACGTTAGGAAGAATCTTTATCTTTTCAATTTAGTTTTTCCTCTATTTTGAAGAGTATATCTTTCTTAAATGTTTGCACACTAATGGGAATCTATCACATATTTTAACCCATTTTATAATTTAGGATTCTGGGATTCAGAGAGGTTAACTGATTTGTGTAAAGTGATATTGGTAATATATATGGCAGTTTATTTAAAATATGTTCTGATGCCAAAGCCCATTATTTTCTAACTTCAAATATGTCATCTTCCTATTAATCCCTGTAGCCTTGACATTCAAAATAGTTTTTAACTTAGACATAGATCCATACTGACCACTTCAAATCAACTAATTACCCACAACTCTTTAGATTTTTTGGCTCTCCTTGTTGATTTCCACTAGAGCCTGATGTTACATACAAACAATACACATGCTCTTTTCCATTATGCAAGGCACTGGATTAGCCACAGAACCAAAGACCAGCTGCCAAATTCCCCAAGTGAATATTAACACATTAATCATAGATCTTTGGATGTTGAGTTTTAGAGTTCTTCATGTGTGCCCAAGAAGCTGTATGAGCTACAACTTTGTTTTCTTCTACAGATGAAATACAGTTCACTTGGATTTTTATTCAAGTCAACATAAGATCAGAATATTTTTTCAAGGAATAGTGGATTCACTCTAATATTTCACCTTGATCTTAGCAAAACTGCAGAGTTGTATAACATTTGGTTAACCAGATAAGACTCATCTTTCCAATAGAAATCTGGTTACTTTCCAATAGTTTGTTTTGTTTTTTTTTTAATTCAAGAAAGAAAACATATGGGTCCTTCTCTTTGGTCTTTATTTATAAATTCCCTGGACATTCATTTTGATTACTTTGTGATAATCTCTTTGTACTCTGTACTCTGGGATTACTCAGAGCAGTTCAAAAGTGTTTCTTTAAATGTGTTTGTTTCTGTGATTTTTTTTCCTTGAGGTAGAGAGGAAACGACCAGCGGATCTTGTCAGTTTCACATGAGCATTTGAATAATAATGAAAATGCAGTAGAATCTAAGTGTTACTCTGGATTTGTATTTTAGAATATTGGTCATAAAGTGGTGCTATTTTTTCTGTGCAAATTCTTGACTAATGTGATTTTTATCCAAGCCATTTGGAGTCATGATTATGAAGTTGGTAAAAAAGTGTCACTTGTGCCAATCAATATTTGTTTCCTCAAACTCAGATGCTTTGATGTGGCCTATTTTCAACATCTTCCCTACTTGATATCCACTGCTCTCGTTTTCTTTCAGGTGACTCTCTTTAGGAAGGATTTAATTAGAAGTACTGTGAGAATAAAATTATTCCCATTTTCAGTGGCAATTGTACATAGAAAATAGCCTATAGGAAAAGGAAATATTTGTGCCAAACCACTGAGTTTTAGAGATGATAGTATATTGGTAGATTCTTTGGGGGAGGAGATGATCAGAGTTTGAGGGCAAGTGAAATTAAAAGGAATAGGGTGGAATGAATCTTTCAAGTGTCCTAGCATTTGTGCTTTCCAACATTTGATTGGTTCTTTTCCTTTCTCCTACTCCTGGGTAGACTGAATTTAACTGATTTGACTATTGAGAACCACACTGAAATCCAACTCAATCTTTTGGTGGCTCAGTATATCTATACATCTATCAATATATCTGTGTATCCTATCTGTCTATGTGGTTTCTGGTCACATATAAATGTATATCTACCTCTATTCATAAGATTTATATGTAAACTTTATAGAATCAATTTTAAAATGAAATTATATGGGCTTTATTTCCCACTTGGGTGGTTATTACCACTTCCTCCTTACATCAGTTTCTCTGTCTTCTCAATTTGTTGTCCACTACTAGGTTTTCTAAAATGTAGCAGTGTTACCATTTCAATTTATACACCATGTGTTTTAATTAAAGGAACACTACACATTCTCTGATTCCTCCAATTTTCTCTTCCTTTTCTTGTTCACATATCTAAGAATCATTATACAAAGAGTTGTAAAAGAGGTATAGCTTACCATGTTGATTTCTACTGTCTCCCCTGACATTCTCTTAAAAAGAATAATAAGCCCCACTTTTGGTTAGCTAATTAAATCATGTATTATGCTATATGCTTTAAAGGTGAGTACTTAGAGGTTACTTACGGTAAAAAGTGACTACAACTTCCCTACTGTCCATTTGCTAATTTTAGTCCCTAGTTAAGATGACGCATCAATAGAGCTACACTCAGAACCTTAGGAAATACTTAACATTTCATTCCTATTCTACTCTGATTGCCTTCATTTTGCTATTTCTTCTTGAAAAACTTTGCTTCAGAATGGAACACTCTCTAGAAAGTATATGGTACTGTTTCTCTCTACACCATTAAACCCAAACCTGAAAGGTGATCCATGCCCTGTGCATTCCCCAAAGAAAGTACAGTAAAATCTTCATGGATCCTGGAATGATCAGATCATATTGATAGAATGTGTCTTTAATGCAACTTTTATTTTAACAGCAACATTTACTGTAAAGAGAGCCTGTTAAGCTAGTACTCTTGGAGCTCCTGAGCTCTGCTGAGGAATATACAGCAGTCTCTCTCAGCAAAAGAAATATAGACCACATAAAGCAGCTAAAAACACCAATTTCACAGCCAAAACAAATTGTGTCAGATTCTACATTTTAAAAATGTATAACTTTTAGAGTTTAATACTACATAAGTCTATAAAACTAAAGTTAATATAAACTGTTTTCTGTTTCATTTCCCTACTGTATTATAAACTGATTGAAATTTTAAAAAATGTTTTCCATTAAATCATGCACAGACTTTGATGAATAGACTACAGGAGTTCCAAGGCCACTGACTTAAGAGAATTTTCAATCTAGTCGGTACAATTGTAGCATTGTGAGATTTTGTGGAGATAACCCATGTACTGTGTTAATAATTTCAATATACTATTAGTTATTGGTGAGAACGTTAGTTGGGATTTTTACATCCAATACAATAGTTGATTATTTTCTGTGAACATTTTATTGTGCCAATAACAGTTCTGCAGTATTTGTAGTTCATTAGTGCAATTCAGAACTATGTTCCTTAAAAAATAGGGTGAATAATTACAAAGAAACTTGAGCAAATGTTATGAGATCCAATAGACGTTTTTCTTAAAACTGTTTTGGAACCACATCATCCTCACAGCAATGCTGGAAAGTTTGAGAGAAAGTTGTCAACTTTTCCTTATATGCTTTTTCTGGTCTTAAGATCACCCAATTTCTTAATTTGGAAGCAATTTAATATCTTATGTGGTGTAGAGTAGGCATTATATTTTCCTTGAACATAATTCAGTTTGTAAGCCATGTTCTCCATGAATGCAAATCATGCACTGCCTGCTTCTAAATGACTTGATGTCTTTGCAGATCTAATTTTGTATATTTGTATCTCAAATAATTCGCCAACTCAATATTTTGGCTTAGCAATCCAAATCAAATTGTGGTCCAAGTAGCAGGCACTCACACTGGATGTACAGAGACTTGACAAGCAATTAGCAATGAATATTTAAATGTCTTCATTACCCTTGCATGAGAAATGCAGATGGCATTTAGGGAGATGGCAACCAGAGGGCACTACTGTGAATTCTGTTTCTGTCATTTGGTCACCTGACTACTGGAAGACTTTCTCTGGGCCCCATGCCATTCCTATACTTCTACTGTCTGGCTAAAAATAAAAGAGGCATTCCAAATGTAGAACAGGTTGCTTCTGTGAAATTTCAGTGCACATTTTGTGATCTGGGAAGGTTGTCTCTAAGTATCCCAGCATATCTCCTTCAGGCACACACAACCCAAACGCCAAGTCTATAGGGGTTTATAGGAATCAGAATTCCTTCAAAAACCCTGCTGTTCATTTCCTTTAATCAGCTTGGTATAATGTGATGAACATGCAAAGGTGAGTAAATCAATATCCCATCCCTCCCAGAAGCAAATGTATTGTATATGGCCTAGAGAAAGGAATATCTTTGAATAATTATAATTTCAAAATTCAGCTCTCACTTCAGATTTCTTTATTTAAGGAGAAAACAACACTGGAAAGTCTGACTCAGCAATTGGCAGTTAAACAGAATGAAGAAGGAAAATTTAGCCATGCAATGATGGATTTCAATATGAGTGGAGATTCCGATGGTTTGTAAAAATTATTTGTATCTGTTCAAATAAAGTACAAAAGTATGTATTTATGTCAATAATAACCATTTAAAAATAGGCAAGACAGTCACATCATACCTGAGCATTACAACAAGAGCTCACATATACTGAGCAGTCCCATGTGCTGAGCACTCCACTTTCTCACTTAATAAATCTCTCAATCCCAGACACAAACTGTAAGTACTATTGCAGGTGAAGAGACTGACCCTCAGAGTTTGGAACCAATTTTTTCAAGGTTAAAGAGCTCCAAGTGTAGGTGGCATGACTTGGATTCAAGGTGGCATGATTCTAAAGCAAATCCCTTTAATCACCATCTACCCTGTCTCTCACTTGCCTGTTCCTCACACCTTAAAGTTTTCAGAAACTCCTGTCTACCTGCTCGCTTTTCAATTCCAGTCTGTCAAACCATGACCAGAATACATCATCCACAGGACCTTCTTGAATAGCTTCTTGCATTTTGGAACCCTTGTCTCCTGTCTTCTCTCCCACACAAATCCCCTGCCTTCTCTCTCTAACGTGTCTAGAGCTCCAGCTGCACAACATTTTAATAGCATAGAAAAGAGAGAAACAGATGAAAGTGCTGTTATGTGGTGCTTCTCTATAACCAGGAACCTCTCTTTAGTGTTAGTCAGTGCATTTTAAGGTGGCATAGCCTCAACTTCACTACTATTACAGAGGAAGTCCCTTGCTTATGAAAAAGGCTGCACCCAGCCAAAGCAGTGAGAAGCATACTGTAACATAGAGAGGGTCCTTGACAATCCTGTAATGTATGCAGTGTGATCAAAATACATGGTGAATATTAAGTTTTTCTAGAAATATATTACATAAAGGACACATTGCCAGTAATCCCCCTCAAGATTCTCTCCTGGCTTTCAGGGCACTTACACCATTGTTCTTATCACTTTCTGAAGCAGTTTTAGAAGTCTTCTTTTGAGTGTCTTTATGACGGGTGATCAGGAAAATGGTGAATACTGCTGCAGGCTCATTAAAACATTGCTCCGTGTCCTCATCCACCTTATTCAATGGATCTGGCACTGTGTGACTTCTGGGTCTCCTACAAAGTACAAATGACCACAAGAGGTAAACATTTTTAATCAGCGCAGTACATTGAGGCAGATACAAGCGCACAATTGAAGCATTCATAAAAGAAGACTTGCTTTCATGGCAAGAATGATGGGATAAGCGTGTTCAAAGTGAAGGGGAATATCTTGAGGGAGATTAATGGCAATGTATCTTTTGGTGTAATACTTTCCTTTAAATCTAGATATTCACCGTATGTTTTGATCACCCCTCATACATAGCTGTCTAGTCTGTGCCTCAGGACAATTCTACTTCAATTGTCAAGGTCTGTACCAGCCAAGAACTTGCCATGCTTGAACATTTACCCTCATAATTCTGTCAAAACTAAACTTTATTCAGTTGGATAGCCAAGAAATATCTGTTTTCTTTCATCTAATGTACCTGAACATTTCATTCTATTTGCTATTTCATCAGCTAGGATAAACCTGTCTTAGTAAATGCAAAATGCTTTTTTTAGATTTGATGAAGTCACACGCTTCTTTTATTGCTCATGTTGCTGTAAGGTGTAGGAGCAAGAAAAAGCAGATGTGCAAATGATCATTTGCTAGTTACAGAGCCATTTTAGAAGGATGTTACCATATATTACCACTCATTTTTGTCAATAAAAAGACAATTACTGGTAGTAACACATTTCATAAATTTTAAGCTGTATTAGCATAATAAAATATGCCCAATGGTAATCAGCATCAAAACATCGAAGTTTTCTTGATGTTATTTGTTAAATTCAGTCATGCTTGTAGGCAAAATATTTTCCACTCCTCCAATGGGTATGTTAAGAATGAGAAATAATGAGACACTACCAACAGACGTGCTATTTTTTATTTGCTGCTATAGAGGGCTTCAAGTCTGGGTAATTTTGGTTGATTATGTGCCTTTAAGAAAAGAAAGAATATGAATGCAGAAAAGCAAAGCAATGCTTGTATTGATAATACAAGTTCTAGAAATCTCCACAATATTTTAAATTTTACTCCATATTTTATAATGGAAACTTAGTGTCAAAGTACCATGGTTTCTTCCAGTTCTCCTTATTGTCATTGCCTAAACTCAAGTACCTCGGAAGCTTTCTACTCTACCAAGGCCATGAGGCTCTCAGAGGAGTGCAGCTTTTACAGATTTCAATGTGATTCATGAGATTACTTTTATTTTTTTTATTCTGATTATTCTAACTATCAGTGGGTCTCTGGAAAGCTTTAGATGCTAAGAGAAAATTCAGGGGAATATGTTATATTTTTCACCTCATCCATGTGACTGTAGACTTCCTAAGAAACTATGGTGATATTATATTTAGTTTGCTCTTTCCTCTACAATTTTCAAATATCTTTTTGGGGGCAGACTATCATTGTTACATTAGCATATTCCATGCATATATTAGCATGTAATTTCAAAGAAAACCCAAGTACATTAGAGGAAAATCTCTATATTGTATTTTGACCTCAAAATTCTATCCAGCCTGTTTTTATTTGTGTAACCTAAAGGAGATAAAAAGGTAAGCGTACTTTAAGTTCTGATACTCTTTAAGTAGCAAAGACTTATCCTCACCTTTAACAATCCATCTGCCACACAGATTACTGTTTCACAGTTTTGTCAGCCTCTTATCATTTTTAATATTTCTACAGCACCGGAATGCTTATTGATCTAGTCTATTGTCTTTCCAAGTTACATCAAAAATCATATATTCCAGCTTCTTGTGAGCTCTTAAATGTAAATAGTGAATCAGTCTGTAGCCTGTTGAAAGAAAGGGAAGATAAATTAGAAATGGATTCAAAATACAAGTACAACATTTGCCACCACAAGGCTTATCATAAAAACTTCATAAACAAGCATCTGTCTTAAGAACTGGAAGTACCATGATCAGAAGTGCGTTTTTGTTTTTAGATATTTTAATAGACCAAAAAAGAGAGTTGCCAGAAGTTTTAACACTGACATGAATGATGTTCCTGTTTTTAGGAAGTGCTGGAGTTTCCGAGTCAAGAATTTATAGGGAATCCAGGGGGCGTGGTAGCAATGAACCCCACATAAAACGTCCAATGAATGCTTTCATGGTGTGGGCTAAAGATGAACGGAGGAAAATCCTTCAAGCCTTTCCTGACATGCACAACTCCAACATCAGCAAGATACTGGGTAAGAAAACACAGAGAATTAAGTGATATATGGACAAATGTACAGTTACTTTTTTGCAGTTGTGGAAAAATACTAGATTTGAAAACCAGGCACCTCATGTCATCTGCTTCTTTAAAAAACAAGCACCATCCTTGAGGATTCTGATGATGATGAAATAGTCTGTGTTCATCAAGAAATGGGCCCATTTTTTTTTTTCCAGTACCCAAGACCTCACGCTTGTGAGGCAGGCGCAGCACCACTGAGCTACATCCCTGGCCATGCCTAATTTTTGTAGCTAATTTAAGTCCATGTCTCCATGCTAATTATTGTCGTATTTTCTCTTCGTTAAAAATCTAGAAATATTTTAACTATACCTGTAAAAGAAAGTACTTTCAGCTGAGCCACTGGAGACTGGTATTGGTCATTTTCTTCCTTTTCTTTTGTGAACTATAGACAGGTTATTGTTCATCTTAAGGCTCCTTCCTCTTTCATCGTCCTTTATAACACAGGGAGAAGACATTTGACTTTGAATTTTGTTTAGAGTTCAATGTGTTGCGGGAGTCTGAGGTGGAGATGATATTTAAGTGTTATAATTGAGAGTCAGTTTAGAGTCTCAGAACATAGTAAGAACTAGTACTCATTCTGTAACTTATATTTTTAGTACCCATAGGTACTAAAGTTACTTTTAGTCATACTTTGTAACTTTAATTTTCTATATTATTAAAAAGAGACTTTTCCTGTCATTGCAGCTTTCAGCTTATCAAAAAACAAAGCACACAGAAAGGATAGGTGGGGAGAAAGAGTTCATATTGAAAAAAAAAAAACTATTATAGACCAATTTAAGCCCCAAGGAAAAACCAAACAAAGGAACATTTCTTTTACTCCTGGGCCATTTTGTTGACATCATCGCCACTGTCCTAGTCATCACCTTTGTCACCTTTTTCACCTTCAGACAGCCTGGTGGCTAGGTAGTGAACCACAGAGGCATATTTTGATTATTCATTCTCTGACATTAAAAAACAAAACAATAAAAATAGAATTAAAACCTCTCCTCAGTAGATTTTGGCTCTATCAAATAAACAAAATGTGTCTAAATTATTAAGGTTGTATTAAAATCCATAACATATTTGGAATTACGCATAGTTTATGAAGATAGCATCCCTTTTGATCCTTTGCATTAAGAAACTACTCATGGAAAAGTAGTTACTAAACATATTCCCATGATTTTGTGATCATGTTTTCTGAACAGAGGTAAGTGATGCCACCCAACCCACAGTGTGCATTTGTAATGTGTGTGATCAAACAAAGCCATTAGCCATCTAAACCTGTGTCTCAACATTTTCATCTGAAGTAATTTTGAGAATTGGTAGATGAACATTATATCAAAAGACATGAACATATAAAGTCTTAGGTATGCATAGAAAACGTGAACATCTATATTTAAAAATATATATCTATAGAAAACCAAAAACTGGAACTAAATAGAAACACATATTTTTGGCATATCCACCAATCTCTGATCCATTTTTTCCTTGTTATGATATATATTCTTTCTTCCACATAAAACTCACTCTTTTTGGAATGCAGCACACCTTTTTCATTTGAAAAAACTCTAGAAAAGTGTGAAATATTTTGTGTAAGCATATTTCATGTTTTATCAATTACTCTGAAATTAGAAATCTAAAATTGTCAAAATAAAACAAGCTAAATACTAACACTTTTTTTAAACTGTCTTCATATCACTGAATTCATGTGTTTGGATATTAAAAAAGCAATAATCATGAGTGAAAACTTTATCTTGAGAGAAATATCAGTTTTGATGATGTGAAATGATACTTTAAAAATATTCCAAAATTGTGGAAAAGACATGACTAAGACAATTCCTTTCTGATCTAAAGGAGCAAATAGCATGACTATATGATTATATCAGCACAGTGTGCATGAAAGAGGGCTGCCTGATTTCAGTCTTCCGGATAACATTGTATTAATTAAAGATAGAGCATTTACATTTGGTCAAAAATTAAACTCTAAAGTATTTTGGGCCTCAATATTTAGTCATAGTTTTAAATAAATAAGTGATCTTCAAATATCCACAAGATCATTCTGAATGGCCTATTTCATATAAAAGTACAAAGAAAGCTTGATGTTTTCCTCTTTACTGATTGTTTTGGATAACAGCCTCCGACAGCATGCTGCTAATTCATTCTGCTTAAAACAGGCGCTTGAGCTGGGTTGACATTTTACGTAGTCTCTGGGGATCCTAGTTGACATTTTAAAGGGCTTCTAAGCATTTTATAATACCCTAAAATCTGGTTTTAATAAGCCATTCTGCTGAAATTGTTAACATAAGGAATCACCTTTTACTGTTTGGCGCTGGATCAGGGAATGGGGGACATCTTTTTCTGATTAGATATACAGTAGTTGGAGTAAAATGTGCAAATTCATTACATACCCCATGGAGATGACAATGTAGCTCGGCTCAGACACTCCACTTTGAGTGTACTGCCACTTTCAGAAAGGAAAAGAACAATTTCGAGGACCTTTTTTCCCCCCTTATTTTGAGCATCAAATATTTTTAATTGAAATTTACTGTTTTGTCATCAAGAAGAATACCCAGTTGTTTTTTCCTGCTTTCATTATGAAAGACTAGCCTTTTGAGAACAGTAGGGCACGTACTTCCTGTATATGAGTCCAGGTTAAGCAGACAGCCACATCCAAATCAAATGGACAATTTTTTTTTGTGATACCTAAAATGTATTCCCAACATTCTCATCTAGTGTGTTTCAGGGATTTACATCAAAGCTGTTTTCAATAGCTATTTTAGCCACAAAGCCATTAAAATCTAATCAATTCAGAGTAATTATTAAAACAGGAAAATGAGATTTGCCATCAAAATTAAGCACTGTTCAATATGGTCATAAAATGGTATATTGGGTATTTTGCCCCAGTTAGTTCTTAGGTATCTTAATTCTCAATTTTAAAAATATTATAATTAATATATGGCCTTATTTTAAAATATATTCTAGGATTTAGTGATACTCCCAGAGACACTATATACCAATAGTTAAAATATTCTGTAACCTCAGTTCATGCCAGATTTTGAACCCCACTTGCCTGAGAATTTACATCTCGTCTGTTATGCCATTTCTTTTTTTTTTCTAGTAGAGATTTTTTTTTCATTAAGTTTATTGATACATTTTAGGTATACAAAACAGTTACATTCATCATTGGGATCTTGTACCTTTACATGATCTCTCTTGGTTCTTATTTTTTCACCATTCCCCTGCCCTCCCTTCAACTCCTCCACCCCTCCCTATTTACAAAGAGTTTGTTTCCATTTTTTCCTTTTCTCATATTTTTTCTTTTCCCTTCTTTCCTTTTCCCTACCTCTCCCACTTCCCCTGCCCCTTTAGACATTTTCTTCCTATTTCACATTATCAGTTATACAGTTTGATCCTTATTTACACTTTTAGTTTTCACACCAGAGAAACTATTTGGTATTTACACGTGTGCCCTATTTATTTCACTTAAGGGTATAGCCTCAATGTGCATCCATTTAGCTATAAATGTCTCTAGTTTCTCATTCTTTATGGCTAAGTAGTATTCCATTTTATTAAACCCCACACCTTCTTTATCCAGTCAATAGTTGATGGGCAACTGGGCTGCTTCCAAGCTTTAGCTATTACAAACTGTGCTGCTATGAACAAGGGTGCACATATTTCACTGTGGTATGATTCTTTCAATTCTTTTGGGAAGATAACCAGGGGAACAGCTGGGTCAAATGGGACCTCTGATCCTAGTTCTTTGAGGTATCTCCACACTTATTTCCACAGTGGTTGCATCAGTCTGCACTCCCACCAACAGTGAAGAAGGGTTCCCTTCTCCCAACAGCCCCGCCAGCATTTGTTATTGGTTGATTTCTTGATAGCAGCCATTCTTTCTGGGGTGAGGTGAAATCTCAGTGTTGTTTTCATCTCCATCTCTTGATTGATGAGTGATATTGCACATTGTTCCATATTTTTATTTGCTGCTTTTACTTCTTCGAGAAATGTCTGTTCATTTCATATGCCCATTTTTGAATAGGGTCTTTATATTTGGGGGGTATGATTATTTTGAGTTATTTATATATTCTGAGTGGTAGACCTTTGTCTGAGGAACAGCTAGTAAAAATTTTTTCCAGGGCTGGGGATTTAGCTCAGTGGTTTCGCCACTTGCTGCGCAAGCCCAAGAACCTGAGTTCAATCCCCGGTACCAAAAAAAAAATTTTTTTTCCCACATTGCAGGCTGTCTCTTAGCTCTGTTGGTGGTTTCTCCTGTGGTGCAGAAGCTTTTTAATAGGATGAGATCCCAGTTGTTGATTCTTTGTGCTAGTTCCCGTTCTACTGAGGTTTTGTTCATAAAGTCTTTTCCTATGCCAGTGTCTTCAAGAGTTCTACCTAACTTATCTGCCAGCTAGCTTAGTGTTTCTGTTTTAATATTTAGATCTTGAATCCACTTTGATTTTAGTTTAGTGCATAGTGAAAGATAGGGGTCTAGCTTTAATCTTTGGCAGGTTGAAATCCAGTTTTTCCAATACCATTTGTTAAAGAGGCTATCTTTCCTCCAGTTATTATGCCATTTATGTATTCATCCCTTTACTTTGCATTTTTGTCAGGCCAGCTTTAAGTTCATAGTCCCACCAACAGGCTTTGACCACTTTGTTCTTCCTCCATAGGATGCTCTTGCCTTTCTGGTCTTTATAGAAGTCATTTCCTCTTATGCTCTCTTATTTTCCTGTACTGTACACATTGATAATTAATAAAATTTGTGCCAGGCATGGCAACACACACCTATAATCCCAGCACTCTGAGAGACTGAGGCAGAAGGGCTGAAAGTTCAGCCTAGGGAACTTAATGACTTAGCAAGACTTTGTCTCAAAATAAAAAATAAAAAAGGGCTGTAATTGTAGCTCAATACATAATCCCTGTGTTCAACCCCCAGGACTGCAAATATAACAACAATAGAAAAAATATTAGTGATGATAATAAAATTTGTATCAAGATGCATAACATTTTTTGTCATTAAATATAAAGTCCAGACAGACAGGAAACATAACTCTCTTGTTCATCACTGCATATTCAGCAATTAATATAGCAGTGTGCACATAATAGAAAATATGAAAATAATTCTCATGTCCTAAGATTCTTAGGTTACTTCAAGGCATAACCATTTCCCTTCCCTAGAGAAACACAATCATTTAGAGCTTATAGAACAGATACACTTAGGGAAGAATCTTTTGTAATTCCTATTCTAATTGGGCATACTGATTTCTTTGTTCAATTTTACCACAAAGATAGCTAGTGAGTTTTAGGTCAACTATCCATATCTATATCTCAATGTATTCCTGTTGCCAGTAAGTTATTTCTGATCAGCTCAGTTTTCCACTCTCTGATCTAAGGCTCACAAAGCTAATGTACATACACATACTGGGGAGAAGCTCCATGAAAAGAATTTATTTTGTTCAATAGTATTATACCTTACCTGAGAACAATATAATATTATCAGGTAGCTCTGCAGAATAATGTTGGGAAAATAAGGACCTTGAGATTGTATTCACGAATGATACAGCCTGACCAATTGACTTGATTTTGGACACTGCTTTTGAAAAGAAGTTTGAGAGAGGAATAGAAAAAGAAACTATTTTATTTGAACTATAACCTGAGCTTCTGTTATAAAAGGAATAAAATTATGTTAGTTGACTAGATTGGGGGAAAAAGATCTATGTTTATAAATCTCTGTAACTCCTACATGGATATCCCCACCTACGTAACATCTGTTCCAATAGAAAACAATTCTAAGCAAAGAAATAATGCCCCTTTCACTGCATGCTTTAATAAATAGAATAGTCCATGTCAAAGAATTCTTTACATTTGTAGGGAAGAACTGTTCAATAGTGATCTACTTCCATTTGCAGTATGGAGTTGTGGCTGAATAATAAACCACTTCTAAAGCTTCTGAGACCTTAGATGATTTTGGAAGGCAGGTGAAGAAAGCAGTATCAGTACATATTTCATAGGTGTATTACTCCATTTTTCATTACTATAATGAAATACTTGAGGCTACATAAATCTATAAGAAAAAGGCTTATTATTTGGGCTCAGAATCTCACACTTAGGTCAAGGAGCTATGCCTGGTGATGTTCATCTTGCTGGCAGAGTCTGAAGCACTTAGGGCATCACGTGACAAGGGCCTGGGAGGTCCTATGTGCTTATCTTCTTTGTTCTCTTCCTCTTTTTTCTTATAAAGCTACCAGTATGCAACCTAGCAGGAGAGCTCCATTGGTGATTTTATCCAACCCTAACCACTTCTCAAAGGCCCCACCTTTAAGCACCATGGTGGGGTTGGTTCCACCCTACTAATTCCTCACAGTGAGGATACACCCCAACCTGAGTTTTGGAGAGGACAAATCATGTTCAAACCATAGCTGCAAAGACCTCGTAGTTCCGGTTTTTCAGTCTTACACATGGGTCAGATTGAGTTGATTATGTGCACATAAATATATTTCTTCTGCTATAAGAGTTTTAAATCTGTCTTTAATAAGTGAACATTATTAGCACTACTTCTGTTACTTCTGTACGGAGCCACACTTATTTCAGTCGCATCTACAATGAGAGCATGAATTATTTTTAGTTTAGTTTAAAACTGAATTTTCTCAATCCTAATTGAATCTACACCAAAACTATTAGTGAAAAGATGGAGAAACAATTTGGTTTATCATTACTATTACATACTGTATCATGAGAAGTGACTTTTATTTTATTGAAAATGGGTTAAGATCAAAATATTAATACATACTGTTATATTTCTGATATCTGCTGGATCATATATAGTAGGTGGAAATATGTGTATAAGAGCATACATTGTAGAGCACTTTAAATTCTATCAAGCTTGGTTTTAAGTCCCACATCTGCAACTTAACAATCATGTGGTCTTGGGTAAGTTGTTTCCTTTATTTGAACCTCAGTTTTCTCATCTATGAAAACAGAATGCTATCAAGCAGGACTGTGATGAAAAGTAGAAATGAGATGACATATGTGAACTTCTTGCCACAGTGTCTGCCCATAGAAGTTGCCCAGTCCATACCTGGTAATAATATAATTCTAATTAAATTTTTAATGAAATGAGTTCTTAACTGTAATCACACTTAAACATTTTGAGTAGAGTGATGATATTTGGTATATTTGATATAGGAACTTCTGCAGTAAAGTGCCCCACATTAAAAAACTCAATAACTATATTCTCTGGTTCAAAATATGTTGAATTATTTTATATAATGTTCAGTCCGCAGCTGAATTACAGGATGATCTAACATAAAAATTTAAAAATATATATCCATGAATGTTTAAGCTCATAACGCACAATTTTGGTTAAATTGTTCGTTCAAGCCTGACAAATAATACATTGTCCAGTGCTCCTATTTGGGGGTACACAGGTTCTTGGTTTTGGGGTACATAGTGCCACCTCTGTTCTTGTGAGATTTTGCCTTCCGAGTCAAAGCTCACTAGTCACAAACATGTTTTACGTATTTCTGGGTGTTGGCCAACATCCCCTGAGATGCTCTTGTTCTCTGTCATGTCTCGTTTTAGGACGCTCAGCAGCTGTGCAAATTGGAACCCTAACCTTGTTTTCTCCACAGGATCTCGCTGGAAAGCTATGACAAACCTAGAGAAACAGCCATATTACGAGGAGCAAGCCCGTCTCAGCAAGCAGCACCTGGAAAAGTACCCTGACTACAAGTACAAGCCCAGGCCGAAGCGCACCTGCCTCGTGGACGGCAAAAAGCTGCGCATCGGCGAATACAAGGCAATCATGCGGAACAGGCGGCAGGAAATGCGGCAGTACTTCAACGTTGGGTATGAGCCCTCAGTCGTTTATTTCATGGGGGGAACTTGCCAGTGTGCACAGTGGGATATGAAACACTGTATCTGCCTAGAGGCAAAGCAGCATTTTGAAAAAGAACCTGAAACCAGTGTATTTTCAGACTGGGCTGTCTCCCACATCGTCCTGAAAACTAAGCCCAAATGAGACCACTGTGACTTGCCACGTCTACTCTGAGCTTTAACAGGTAGTTTGAAAATAAAATATCTTCACGTAAATAAGTTTGAAGGCTGCTGTGAGAAGCTCAGAAGTATTCTTGGTTCTCTTTGGTTCTCTTCCTCACGGGTTTCATTGCTTCCATGGTTTCACCAGGATAAACGTTACGACGTGCAATTTAGATGACACAAATACAACGTAAAGGTGATTGGGAAAGAGGGAAACACTGAAACACTTGCTGCTGAGCATCAAGGGACCACTGAGCTATCAAGGCACATGGGTGACCTTGCGTGACACTGTGGATCACACAGATAGGGCTTAGAATAATAAATATGTCCTGAATATGGCCAGCGGCTAACTCAGGATAAAACTTCTCAGTTTTGACCTGTTCCCTCCATTTCCCTAGAAGAATCTCTGTGCTGTCTCCAAGAGTCTATGACTCCTGTCCAGGGACATGACTCTTCTCTCGCCTGAATAGCAAATTAAATAGCAAATTTAGGGCTGACCAAAGAAAGCGTGAATGATCATCATCTCGTAATCCTCTCCTGCCACGATCAGCTACACATTCTACACAGCCCGATTCAAAAGTGAGGGCAGGCTCCCTCATTTAAACGTTACTACTAATTTCCAAATTAGGACAGCAGGACTAAGTATGGGACCAGAGTACAGTTGCACAGGTTGTATACTCCCGAGCCGGCCCGGCCTCCCTCTGGGGGGGCGCTGAAAGTGTGTCAGGGAGCAGGTGGACAGAGTGCTGTTGTTCATTCTGGGACCTTGTGAACGAACAGTAAAGCTATTTTGATAGCTCCAATACTTTAGGCTTTTTCCATTATAACTGAATTATATTTAGGCAAATTTATAGAAAAATACTCTCATTACATGCTATCCTAAAGGCAAAGTGAACTTGGAGTTAAGGACTTGGGTTCTTTAGCTTACTTAGTCTTTGTGTGCCTCAATTTATTTCATAGAGCAGTGATGGAACAGGTTATTTGAAGAGCCCAGTGGGCAATTCAGGTAAATGCCTTGTACTCCAAAAAGCACTATACAAAAGCAAGGGATTAGACTCAAAGCAGGATACAGTTTTTAAAACATTAGGCAGTTGGGTGAAACTTGGTACCTTAGGATTGGATACCACCGAGCACGTTAATTATTTACCAATACCAGTGTCTAACTTACACGGACTCATGACCTCTCTTTGGGAATTCCTCCCTGACAGGCAACAAGCACAGATCCCCATGGCCACCGCCGGCGTTGTGTACCCCGGAGCCATCGCCATGGCTGGGATGCCCTCGCCGCACCTGCCCTCCGAGCACTCGAGCGTGTCCAGCAGCCCAGAACCCGGGATGCCTGTCATTCAGAGCACTTACGGCGTCAAAGGAGAGGAGCCACACATTAAAGAAGAGATCCAGGCGGAGGACATCAATGGAGAAATCTATGATGAGTACGATGAGGAGGAGGATGATCCAGACGTAGATTATGGGAGTGACAGTGAAAACCATATCACAGGACAAGCCAACTGATAAGGGTCAAAGATTGTCGTGACCTTAGGACTTAAAGAAGCCCTAGCTGGTTCATCCTTACCAGTGGCCAAGCACATTAACTTTCTCATACACTGACTGTTACTTTAACTGTTAGTCTTAAATAGTTGGGACATCAGCTGACTAATAGACCTCAGCCTCAAAAGGCTTGAAAAGGAAAACAAAATATAACAAGCAAACAACAATATCAACAACAAGAGATTGAAATAAGCTATGGGTAAAATAATGCCAGTAATTCAGCTGCTACATCCAAGCACTGAAGTCTTACCCGTCAACTTTTTTTTTTTAAATAAACTTTATGGCTGTTTGTTCTACAATGTTCTAGAAATTCTCACTCAGGTACACAGTGCCAACAAGTGGCTTGTGAATGTGTTTTGTTGTTTTGTGCTACAATTTTTAAAAAGAAATAAGTTTTGTTTTGTTTTGGGGGGTTTCTGGGTTTTTGTCTTTTACTTTTTCTTTCCTTTCCCTTTTTTTTTGTTTTTGTTTTTGTAATGCACCTGACAGAAAAAGAAAGATGAATTTCTCTTTACTTCTCTCCACCTTCTCCATCTCTTTACTTTAAAGATGGAAGTCTGTGCATGGGGCAAAGAGGGAAAAAGAGCCTGTTTTTAACTTCCTTGCTATCCATCACAAAATACACAACTATTTTCTTTAGAGAATTTTCTGTATCTGTTGCACACCACACTACATCTTTGAGCAAGTGCCAAATTTGTACTGAAGTGTTGACCAAGTTCATGTTTTTTCCCCTTCCTTTCTCCTGTTCCTTCTTAAGTTAGGGCAGTGTTATATCTTAGACAATCCCTTGAAAAACCTGATATACCAGCAGCTGGTGAGATTTGACTTTTTTTTTTAAACGGAAACTGTAGGTGCTGTTCTCAGGTGAAAAGAGAGAGAGACATAAGAAATTTAGAGAAAAAAATATTTTCTGATCTTGGATTTTTGTGTGTATGTATGTGTGTGAATATGGTACTAATAGAAATAAAGTTGGACCATTGTGAGTTAAACCCACATCTGGGGATGAAATCCCACATCCTCCTAAGTGACTGGTCTAGAAGTAATCTTGACCTTGACTTTGCACTTCAAATGACAACCAAGTATAGGGCTCAGAAAGTCTATTTTTCAGTTTCTAATATGCTTATTGGATGGATCAGGTGGCCCTGTGTAATAGAGGTGTGCATGTATAACATGGAAGCTACTAGCAAACTGCTCCCAGATGTCCCTTTTCCCTGGACAGTTGGTTCTACTAACTTTTGCTACTTAAGTCATTTTGGTTTTTCCTGTTGATACTTCGAGCAAAACAATCATTATTTTCACTGACTATATTTGGCCATTTCCCAGAAATACAGAATTAGCTTATTTCTCAACATTCCATCCTTTCCTGACCAGGAAAAGGAACTGATGACAACTTTGTATTTCTCATCTCTCCATGAAATGAGGTGAAGGCCCTTTGCATTTCAGAAGTGTGGGCCATGTGCATTTCATGCCATAAAAATCAGGATTTGGTTCAAAGTCACTGCGGCCCAACAAGGTGGAGCCTGGCTGAACGTAGCGACCCTTGCCACTACTTTCCTTTGCTGTGAGGTGAATCTGCCTAAGTCTAACTCTTGGTGCCAGCAGAGCATGCGCATAGAGCAACAGCTGATGGTGATGGGATTCCTTTTTAGATTTTGCCAACCAGATGCCAAGGCAATGGTAGGACCTGTACAAATAAATTCTAAATCCTTTCAAGCCAATTGCCATTGTTTGTGTTGACACATCCAGCGGTAAATGCTCCAGCCAGTCGCTTGGATGTGCCATGGGGTTCGTTCACTCCAGTCGTCATTTTCCTATCTCACCCCCCAAACACCTCCCTAAAGTTTGATTTTCACTTTTAAATAAGGAAAATAAATATTTTTTATTTTTCTCTCTCTCAAAAGACTTGCTCTCGGGTTTTGCTTGGAGGAGCTGATCATATCCTGCATGTCAGAGATTTTGTTTTGTTTGTTTTTCCGTTTTTGATGACTGTATTTTCATTTGAACTGCCTCTTTTTGCTAGTGTTGTAATAATGATGATAAAATAATAATAGTGATAATAATAATAATGGTCAGCTGTTCCCAGATTAGTAAGTTATGTATAATTTATTTTATTTCGCCCTTTCTACTTTATTCTGCTCTGATTTGGAAGGCAGCCAGTAAGATATTTAAAACTAATTGTTATCACCAACTCATATAGATATATATATATAATATACATATATATACACACACACATATATATTTACCAGTATATGTGTGTATATATGTATATGTACATACGGACTCGTGTTCACTCATACAATTTTACTTCTCCTTTCATAAATTTTCTCCTTCTAAAAATTTTGGCCCCAACAATGTCAGTTCTGGTGTTTCATACAAAGGAATGAATTAATAGGAGGGTCGTGTTCAATCTTAATTATCTTATACTCTCATCACTCATTTTAGTTATTTAATTGCCACAGTCATCTAGAGCCAATTTTTTGTTTTTGTTTGTTTTGTTTTTAAGCACTCTGAATAAGGAAAAAATAGACACTTGTTTTTATATCGTTATTATGTACAATGTGAAAACAGATTTTTAAAAAATTTGTTGTCTTTGTTAACAAATTTCTTCTGACTTATGTGGGTTCACCTCTCACGTTTGCTGGATACTTTACACCATGTTATAAAGATGCTTTGTTTTCATTTCATGACTCTGGGCTACAAGAATACTTTGTTTTAGCTCCAGGTAGATGCCACTGAGGGCATTCATGGCCAAAACAAATCCTAAATACCAGTGAATTGACAAAATGTTGCGTTTGATTTACATTTTTCTTATTTGAAGGATAAAATGAAATTCTTTTTTTTTTTTTTTTTTTTTTTTTTGGTACCAGAGATGGAACTCGGGTCCAAAATGAAATTCTTAATAGAGACCTTTACCTGCTGGAACCCAGAATTTATTTAGTTAAGTTGATGTCCAAGTCTAAACTGTACATGGACTGAAATGAAAAGCAAGTCCATAGCGCTGCACTGAACACTCTTGTTAAGACATTTAATTCACTGGATGTCAGAATCTCTTTCCCCTGATTTTACCCAAAAGACAAGAAAAACAAAAATAATATTAATGTTTAAAATGCTTCAAGGTCACTTGATAAAAGGTGCTGTGAATAGCAACTTGCTGTGTTAACACAGTGCCTTTTTTGGCATTTGACTGGTTTATGATTTTTGTAAAGGATCTTAAAACTTTTTATTCTTTTTCTGTGCCCCATAATGACCAAAATAGATAAGGTGGAAGAAATGAGAGTAAAATCAAACTGAAACCGCCTCCCTTTCTCCTCACTGCTTGCCTACCTACCTGTTTATATTATATCCTCTCTCTCTCCCACTCTTTCTCTGAGGAATAATCTTGCCAGAATTCTGGTTTTTAGATTTGATGTGATCTGTCCCTCGAAATTAGTCATGCCCTTGTATGAATCTAAAAGAACATCACTGGAGAAAATAGTCAAAGTTGCTCATTGGTAAACTAATAACCATTTGGCTAGTTATTACAACTGGACAAAATAAAAGCTATTCTTCAGCATACTTATAGCTAAATTACCCAAGTCAAGTTTGAAGTTTATTTGGCATCTACAGTTAAGAATTACTCATGTCATCAGATCCTTCCTGAAGTACATAGTCATTGTTGAAACCAAATCTTCCTATAAGGAACAAATATGTAAAATGTTCTTTGATGAAACTGTCTCCTAGATTTGTATTCTGGAGTAGAATTTTACTTTAATTCATTTAAAGAAAATTATCTTTATTTCATGGTCCCATTTCAGATATTTTCTTAATCCAGAAGCTGTTACTATTCTCAGAAGAAACTTCTTATATCACACTTAAAACATCAAAAATAAATATACTTTCATTCATTCTTAAGAGTAAATTATTGAATTGTAATAAACAACTGTATATTTACAAACAGGTTTATAAAATATTTCTCTATCAAGTTAATAGTAAAATAAAACTTACGGGGTCTGCAAGGAAAATTATGAAGCCCACTGAAAGTGGTTCAGATATCTTTGTCGTGTAGGGCATAGGTGTTTGTTTTGCCAGGCTTATACAGTATTTAATTTTAAAATTTCCTATAACTATCGATTTACCAGGTGGAAGATGATTTGTTGAGTTTCCTACTGATCAATTTCTGTCCTCCCCAGTGTTTCTGTCACTGGTTCACTAAAACAGTATTTATATAGCTCCACTGGCTCTAAAGCTCTCAGTCTTTCTGATGTTTTGGATTTTACAAGTAAAAATTAAAAAAAAAAAAAAACAGAAAAGAGACAATCAAATGCCTGGAGCTTAAAACAAAGTATGTGCAACCTACCATCTCACTTGAAATTTAATAAAATAAATAATTATGTAAATATAACATAGAGTTATAGATTTATATTTTGTTCATAACACATAGTGTAATATAAGTTGTATATTTTCATGTTTTTGGTTTTATGTTATCATTCATGCCACAATAAAAATAGGAGTTTATGTACTCTTAAAAAAATAAGATGTGGGTTGCCACCAACCTGTTTTTTTGTTTTTTGTTTTTGTTTTTGCATTCTTTTTTCAGTATTATTGCCATGCAAGGCACCAATAAAAACAGCAAATGTGTTCTTTATCTATTTTACTGTGTTTCTTTTCACAATTCTTATTCTGAAACTATAGTCACTTTTATTATGAAAAGAAAAAAGTATGAAAAATAATTCACTCTTGTTTTTGATATCTATAGTTCCTCACACGGAAGTTGACTTAGGACAGGGGAACTAAGGGTTTAATCTTCAGTGCAGACATTCCCAGAAGGTCAGTCGGAATTCATGACAATGCCTCTGAGACGGCGACCCGGCTTCACTCTAGTGCCAAAAAGTACATGTCCCTGTCCTGTGTAATAGGGCCTAATACATGTGGAAACCCTAAGCCTGAAGTGCCGATGGTGTTTTCCTGGAAGGATACCGTCTCTGGGTATAGAATATGAATTCTACCCTTTAGAATTATGGTTCCTCTTTTGTTCATATGGCAACACTTCACAGTTTTAGATTATAAATAAATAATTTTCACCTTTGAGTAATGGATATCTCTGAATTGTTTAACACTGTGATATGAGCCTCTGGGTTATACCTCCAACTTCTTAAATGACAGAAACAAGAAGTCTCTTTTCCTTCCAGTGACCATTTTTGCCTGTCTTACCTACCACACTATGTATTTCTTTCTTGATAGTCCTGTGAGAGTTTTGGGTTGGTTGGTTGGATAGGTGGGTGGGTGTTTGGCCAGGATTTTTTTTGATGATTATCAAGACACTGGATCTGGTAACACCAGATGTATTATAACCCTCTGATATATTAAACACTGATAACACCAGATCAATATAAAGTATATAAAGTGGGTATATTCCACTAACAGTTTGTCCATTATATCTCCTACTACAAATATTTTAAAAATATTTTTAACAAGTCTGGTCAATGGAATTCAGAATTGACTGTTTCAAGTGTAGATGGAATTCAGAATTGACTGTTTCAAATGTAGATTTCTGAGCCGGATTCTGGATACAGTGCATCAGAATCTCAAGGCTTTTGCTATTTAACAACTCCAAACAATTCCTCTGTACCCGCTAATAATGTTTCAAAACAGCTAGAAAGTAGGTCTGTTTTCCTTGCTGCCTACCTTTTTTTTTCATGTCAAATTCCGCAGCTCCTATTGCCTGCCATACTTTTGCTGGAATCCTAGGCCTCTGTGAACACCTTGGGGTCAGAAAGTGGGCAATTTTTGTGAAGCTCTCAGTCTCTTCATACCTCCTTGGGGGCATTCTGGCTACCGGAACCTCGCTCCATTCCCCCTGCTTCTCTACTGCTTTCTGTTCATCATGACAAAGCAGGAGGCTAGAAGAAACTGGAACACTGAAAATATAAAAGAAACGCAAAACTACCACCCACTTAATATTTGTAAAACAAATTGGAGTTCTTTTCAGAAGAAAATGTCCATGGTAGGAGTTGGGAAGTAAACATTCCACTTAGTGTTCATAGACCACCCAGGCCCAGTCATTCCCTGTCTCACGGATGCTTCAGGAAACAGCTTTATCAGGAGATGCACATGGGGAGAGTGTCCTTATTTAATGACACTGCACCAACGCACAAACCCCACCCTTTCTCTTCTGCCAAATAAAGCTCACTTCATTTTGTCCCACAGTGCATCAATTCAGAAACATTAATTTCTTGGTCTTTCAGATATTTAGTTCCTTACAGAATATTTAGGACTAACATATAATAATAGTTTCCCTACTGCCGATGCCTTGAGAAACCAAAAAACCACTGGCAATTTTTTTTCAAAAATCTCAATTTTGCCAACTGTATTTGTTTAAAGTCCACATGTTTTTTAAAAACCAAGACACTCATTCTCACCATCTTTAAACTTTCAGAAGTCGTCTCTCTAATTTCACATCATTACCAAAATCTCACTTAAAATAATGGAGGTAAAGTTAAGCATGAATCAGTTCAATGTCTGAATTAAAGATTATTTATGAAAAAAATCCAATTTATTTTCTTGAGTTCCCAAAGCAATCAAATAGCTAGCAAAAACCTCTTTTAAAAGTAAGCATTGTAATTAGTATGTAAAGTGTATGCAATAGTATTGCTAAAAGTTCTTTACAATAGTCATGTTTACTTGAGCAGGCTAAACATCTGTCCTACAATTTTATTCTACCAATTTGGTTAGCAAACTATTTTTACCACAAAGAATGAACTAGTTCCACTCAACCATATATCATTTTTCAATAGTCTGGTCCAGGTATATGATATTTTATTTTCCATATGGCCAGTTTTTTAAAAATGCAAGCAAATATGGAATGGAATGGTTCTCTCTTGCTATTCAAAATATAATCAAAAGGATAAAAATTATGTTATCATTGATGTCTCTACTGATTCAATTTAAAAGGAAATAGAAAAACAAATTACCAGAATAATTGTAAGGATTCAGTAGACCTAAGTAAAACACCACTATTTTGTACATTGCCTGTTCAATTTATTATTAAATTTCAGAATCTGGAAAGCAATCTTAATTATACACAAACTGTAAAATATATTTGAAATAAAGTTTTTGTTTATAAAAATCACTGTTGTTGATAACTGTCTTAAAATAAATTCATGTGTCCCTGCTAGAAAGTAGAGGGACCCGTAAAACATAACAGGTTACATAATTATTAATACCCAAGACTGATTTTAGGGACTTGCTCCAACGTTGGCCTACTGTAAGCATTCAACTTGCTTCATATGACAAACTTACCAGAGTACAAGTTTACAAACTGTGATCTGCTGAACTTGAATATCTTCAGAACTACAATCTTTAGGAATAAACCCCAAATAATTAATAAAAATTGCACCTTTTATTTGGAAATGATCCTCTATAAAACATTGTCTTCTACTGAGTTAGCATACAGGAGTAGAATTAACAATCCAGGTTATTTGGGGGCAGATCTTTTAACATCTAAAAAATGGGCTCAAATTGATGTTGGTATAGGATTTGGGCATAGATTCTAACTACAGATTTTGAAGAGAAAATTTTAGATTGTTCTGATTAAAGAATTAATAATTTCCTCCAATCTACCAATTTCATAGATATTATATTACATCACCTATATCTTAAACTCTTGCTCCTAAAATCCTCTGCTGGACATTTCCCATTCTTTCCTATTGTCATAGTAAAAACTTAAATGTACACTTAATTTTTTAGATACTTCCAGATTCCCCACAGTTTATGTGGCAAACATTGAGAAAGCTTTGTAAATTTTACTTTTCTCTTATAAAATTTATACAAAAACTGACCTTGTACCATGGAAAGATATTCAGACATTTTTATAACTCAAAAATACGAGTCAGTAAAAATGACTAGTAAGAAAAAGAGAGCCTTAGGAGGCAGCATGGTTCGCCTTTCCCTATCTTAATGTCTCAATGTGTGACAAACATTACATGAGTGATACTAACCTGGGCTGCCTGGCAAGAAGAAGATTAACTCTCGCCAAGGTTCATGAGTCACTGGCACGCTGGCCGCCATCTTAGTCTTATGCTCTCACCCATTTTCAAAATTTACAAGTACACAAGCGCAATGATGCCAGCATAGTTAGCACATAGCAAATAGAGACAAAGGATAGAGTAAGAATAAAAGCATCTCACATAACACTACATGCTCTATAAACACTCATGAACACACATGTATTTGTTTATAAATAAATATATATACATATATATTCACACATCCACACACATATGCATATTTATTGTGTATACTGACTGAGGACAACTCCAATAACTAAACAAACAAACAAAAATCCCAGCTCTTAATTTTCACAGAAGTCAGGGCAAAGAAGACGGATTCATGGATTACAGACTTCTTATTGCTTAATTGAAAGAAGCATGCAAGTTTATCATGAGAAATAAACCTTTCATTGCCTTAAATTCTCAGATGGATTTCACACTTAAAGGATAAGAAACAATGCAAAAAGCCACTTTTTTGTAAGCAGATTTACCAAAGCGGTAGATGTATTTCATGTGTGCTTACTCTATCAGTCCTTGAAGAGAATTTCATAAAGACAACTTGCAGGGGTCAGACAGAGATGGTATACATATGAATAGATAATTGGATATATGGATTAGACAAGGATTTACAAGGATAAAGCTGGAAGAATTATGATTGTGATGAATATTTATCGTGTCCCATAGACTAGCTTTTTCAACTATCAGATGTTTTAAATTGGCTTTTAATTATATATGTTCAGTATTATGATAGGTTTGTACAAGCTATAAAACAGTACTTCCAAGTTTGTAATTCTTCAGGAAATAAGACCATTAAGCAACAAAGCAATTTATACTGTTTTGAATATGATTAAAAAGCCTGATTATAAGTGATACGGGATTTAATATGAAAATGAAAATGATGTTACTATTTACTGAAACTTCTGCATCTAAATAGTATATAATAGGTCATGAGTGGCCAAGCCTCCACTGGAATTAGAGAATGCTAGAAAATCCCAAAAATATTAGCATAAGATGAGGGATAGATGAGCCACAATTCCAGAAAAAGAAGAAACTCTCCAAGCCAAAGCAATGATTGCTGCATTTGTATTTAGTGAAACCACTGTTCTGAGTATTACTATAGAAAGCTCGACAGCTTTGGGGGAAGGGAAACCAGCAAATCAGTTATATAGATCTAAAGGGACAAATGGAAGAACCTCAAGTGTAAGATTAATTTTAATAATGGCATATTTGATGAGTTGTAAGGCTCTGAGGGATGCTGGCCATTTATGGCATCACTACTGTAAGACAGAGTCAAATGTGTTGTCATTTAGGGCTTACAAATCAAAGAGGAAACAGAGATACTGGATCTGCCTTAAGTGTACAGCTAGTCTTCCTCTTTATATTTGTCGGAGTTTACCTTCAAGGGGTAGGATGCTGAAAAGTTGGGCTGGAAACATTGAAAAGGCAGACAGGAATTCCCTGTGGTCTTTCATGTCTAAGGAGAGAAAGACTCACCATGCTCACAAGTAACGCTTGGGAATATCATACCCAAGATAAAATAGAGGGACACTGAGTCTTTCTGAGATATCAGTACAACAAAAGAAAGATAACATAGGAG